GACATATGAGCATGAGCATACCTGTGACGTTACCACTTTATTAAAAGTAACAAAGACAAACGTTTGTACAAATAAGCAGAACGATACATCTTTATGATTCCACAAGGAGGAGATAAGGAGGAGAATAACTTGAGGAATGAAAGCAATTTTACTCAACAAAGAAGCAAGCCATGTTCCTTGTGTCACGAACAACATGTAGAAATAAAGAGAGAAGTTGTGCTTTATGTCTGTCCTTTTCACGTGATATAGGTATGTCTCTTCTATGAAATCCCAGCCATACAACTTGTAAAATAATAATCCTAAAATTAAAAACGTTCCTGAGCTGGCAAAAATAAATTGGATCCTTTTTACACTTAGTAGTGACCCCCAATGTATTGTAAATTTGTTAATGTTCCAGGCCCCCAACCAAGAGGTCTTGTTATTGCTTGAAACTTGACTCGAGTTAGAAGTCTTGACCACATTTAAAATTTTATTTCTTCTCAGGTCCTTTTCACTAAAAGACGAGTCGATTTTAAAACGTTTTCCTTTTTTATGAGATTTTTCCTCAGGGGTCCTGTGAACGTTTGAAACTTTGAATATGTCCCGGGCCCTACTCCAAGGGGTCCGATCAACAGCCAGATAAAAGACAAGGCAATGAATGATGGGGTAAAATTTAAAGTGAACGGCGAGACCATATAGGACCCCCGACAACAAAACCCTTCCTTTTACAAACATATAGAGACTTGACAACATTATCAGTGCCAGGAGAGACTCGGCATTACCACGACTTGAAACGACAGCTGTCACAGGATTAATCAACCAAACCAAACAGGAAAAGAACCTCTTTCTATCACTCACTCCTTCCATAGCAAGAACCCTCTCAATACACCAAGCTACTAACACGTCTAGCGTTATAAATAACACTTTACCATAATGTATGGACAGACTATGATTAGGTAGTAGTAACCAAGATAGTAATGGCGTGTATCTATAGGTATCTCTATCATAAGGAGAGCCGCCTTCTTTAACGTGTAGAGACGCGTCTGAAAAGACCCAATAGTCTATATCAGTGTATTGTAGCTCTTGCGTGGAGTCATGCCATGTGCCGTAGAGTATGAGGAGTAGACGGCCGAACCAGGAGAGAGAGAAGAGGGTGAAGAAGGAGAGGGGAAGAGAAGGACTTTGGGACTCCATTATGTTTGCATGCTGGTGGGTGGGGCTGGCTCTGCAGTAGGATGTGGTTTCAAATGAGCCACAATCTTTCCATCATAAAGCAATCTCAAAGTTTAACTTTAAAATGTAAGAATTATACATCAACTGTAATACTATTATTATATTATTTTAACATTATAATGAAATTTTAATGCAGTGAAATTTCGAGTTATTTTTCAAAATAAATCTTGAACTTTAATATGGTTCGTGTGCTTTTAGTAATTAAAATATTAAAGCTACAACTACATGTACATACAATCATTAAGCTATAAGTCATGATTCTCATTCTCCTTCCTTTGTTTCGATACCAATACAGGAGAAGAAGGTTCTGTTAGCTTCTTAGTACTAGGGACAATACTTAAAGGAGTATAATGATGGATTGGTTGTGCTTTGTGAACTAAAGAACGTCGTAGAGCTTTTATCTCTTCTGCCTCTTCAGCTTCTCTTATAGCTTTTCTCTCTTCTTCTGTTCTCTGTCTCTCTTCTTCTCTTAATTTCTTCTCAAACTCGTATTGTGAGCGAAGTTCTGATCTCAGTTCAGTTTGTAGTGTGAAGGTGTTACTAGTCTCAGTCAATGGTTTTGTTGA